AACCATGCGGCACAACCTCGAATGATTCCAGTCCGCGACTTTTCAAAAATGTCATCGGAATTTCTCACGGAACTCTCTCTGCGATTTTAGCATGAATTTACAGTGCTCGACACAGTAGTACGATTAAATAAACATGGAATTCGCATTTGCCGTGGGTGTGAAGGAAACTTTTCATATCCCAGAAAACCAAGCTCACATCATCCTCATGCAAACAAAGGAACCAGTTGTTGATTTTGTTTATTTATTTTGTCATGACCAAAAGCCCAGGTTTCAAGAAAGGCGGACTAGGAGAATATTAAAGGAACCGGTATTCTTTCAGCTCTCGTTCGAAGTGGTCCGAACGGAGGCAGATGGTGAGAAAACGGTGCTCTACAAAAGTGAAATGTTGAAGAATGCTTCTCGAGTGGTTTGGAAGGCGTGCACATTATCTTGCCAGGAGATCAGTGATGAAGCCTCAAGGTTATCTTTCACATACAAATAATTCCGATTTTCGACTCGGTCACTTGAGCAGCCTTCCCAGCTACGCCCAACTCAGCGGTCCTTCTCAGCCGTTGAAGCTTTTCTTTTGCAGGCAGCTGGAGGTGACTTGCTATTTCAAGGACGAGAAATATCGTAGCACCATCGCTGGCGGCTTCACCACAACACACCGCGAATTGCGAACCGTTCAGGAACCATTTACTGTAAGCGATATCTTATCAGCCGGTTTAACAGAATATCTATTATAACTTTTTCAGCTCACCAATCCCCTTTACAAAGGCGGCCTGAAGGTTTGCGGTCAATTCGATGTGATCAAACGCGCCGAGCTCACTATCTGCTCTTTCTTGGACTACATCAGTTTCGGGTAGGCATTCGAAATTATTGGTTCTATCAAACGAAAAAACTTAAACATTGTAAGGTTTGTTAGAATCGTTGTAAACATCTTTCACATTGGGATGAGAGGGATGGTAGCCCGGCAATAGTTAACGGCTGCTCGAGATGCGCCAGGTCCCATTCGTAGCTACAGAAATTTGTAGCCACTTCTCCTGCTGACATTTATCGACACGCTGTTGTGGAGAACCAGCTGGTTGTAATGGGGGCTAGAGCCGGCATTTGGCCTTTGGCCATGTTCACGATAACCGCTCCACTTGTCTCTGTCTCTGCGCCCTTTTACAAACGATACGAAGAAATACGAAGAAATCATTCTGTTCAGTACTTAATAAACTATTCTGTTTGAAGGAATCCTTCCCGAAAATTTTTGCATTCTTTCCAACATGAATATGTCAGTTGTGATCACTGGAAACAGCACACAAAGTTTCACGCATGAAGATTCGGTTTCCGAAGAGAAACAAACGTACAAAAACTACACTCTATGGACATCGAAGGTAAAGGCGGCGGAGCCAAAGGCATGGAAAAGATGTGCCGCCTTGGCGGCTCAGTATCAGGCGATCGCAGCCGACGTGGGGAGGGGGACGCACGAAAAATAGAATAGCGAGACAGTAGAGTGTGAGATTGTTCCACGCCGACTCAGCATTGTGACAATCCGGCGGCGTCCTGCGTAAGCGGCCTTTCCGGTTTTCAGAAAATTTTCACCAAAACAAATGCATTTTTTTTTGTTCTTTTCGTTCTTATCAAGACCGATTGGTCTCAAGCCAGTGAATTATGGAGTTAATAGAACCACGATTTTTCCGAGAAGGATTTCTTCAATATACTTAAAAGCTGTCAAACTAGTTTGCAGTCGGCTGTTAACCTAGATAAATCAAATTAGGTGAAAATATAAGTTTCGGGAGGGGGCACCCATATTCTAATCGAGTGGAGCTGCTCACTTTCGATTTAATATTGTCAGTTTTTGAATTAGATATTATGAAGTGGCCCCATCTCAAACTCATTTTCACTCCCAATGTACCTAATACAAATATCTGAAAATTGGGGTTTACTGAAAAGCAAAAATAAAAATCCTTGTATGCAGATTTTATTCGGAGAAGCGTTCACGGAAGCCCTGCAAACGCAATTTTCCGACTTCACGATTATAGTGTAGTGCCTATGAATTGAATCCAACCATTCTCCTTCGACTTACAATTTTCATTTAATTTTTGCAATTTGAAAAAAAGGTTTCAGAGGGAGTTTTTGAGAGGCATTGACAGTTTCCTTCATTACAGTACCATATTGAACTTCGCGTTCGCTATCGACTTTTCGGATGCCGAGGGAGCGCAAGACCACGAATCACAAGTGAATTTCACCGACAACGTGGAGTTCGCCATTCGCTCAGTTGGAGACACCTTTGCTGACTACAATCGGTATCATTGACACTTTGTCTTTTCCAGGTCTTACTAATTATCGTGCTTGTTGCAGATCGAACGCCTACCCCGCCTACGGTTTTGGTGCACGAATACCCCCCTTTATCGAGAATCGCACGAGTTTTGCCTGGTTAGTTAACTCGCAACTTTACTCAAACGTCTTCGTCCAGCTCATTAGCTCAATTGCAGAACCTCGAAACGGATCCCACGTGTACCGGCGTCGACGGTGTGGTGACGGCATTCCGAAACACCTACGTACAGGCACAACCGTGCACAACTGCACAGTTCTCTCATGTGATCTACCATGTTTGCCAAGTAAGACGAAGTTTAATTCAAGGGCAACAATCGCGATGAATCGGGTGTTGATGTGCGGGGAGCATCCCCCACTGCAGGAGATGTGTCCGTGGACACGATATGGCGCGAAGACGCTTTGTGGGCGGACGGTGCGGTATCTATCACATGCGAGGTGGGCACGCTCGAGCTTTTCAACGGCAGCGTCAAGATAATCTGCCCTCACCCCCACCCCATCCTGATTGGCTACATCCCCTGGCTCAACTGAGTCCCCGAAATCTTCGTGACAGTTCAGTAGTAGTACATTCCACTTACATACAATTTCTGCGTTAAAAAATGGCGTGTGCCCACTCCTGTTGTATAGCTCCACGGTAGGCTATCAAGAATCCGTACAAGCCGCAGAAGAAGTACTGTAGCAGCAAAAACTGTTCGCCAAAACGTTCCTCGTACATTTTTTCTCCTTACTCGAAGAGTTCGCTACCAAATACCAAGAATATATACAAAAAATTTCGAACCTATCAGTGATCCCTTCTTCCCATTTTAGAGACGTGGAAAAGGTCACAACGTCCGCATTGATACCGTTATAGTTTTTGCTCTAACGTTTAGGCGAGTTCACTGTGCCGACTGCCACCACGGGCAACTCGTCCGGAAGAGCTCTATCATACTTTAGCCGTGAGCTCGCTGGGCTTCATATAGATAGAAAGGAATAGGGCCCTATTTCTCTGGTTTCTGACGATTTCTTCCCCAAATTTATTTCATCCGACGCCTAAATTACGGCATCTCCACGTTGCATTTCGTACTGGACATCAAAATTGATCGAAATATGCTGCGCTTAAGAGATACTGAAATTGAAGGATCAGAATCAGCTCCAAAAATTGATCCTTTAGCAGAATCGCTCCCAAATACACGCTACTCGAAGTGAGCAAACTCGACCGCAGTATCACATTTTAAATATTATTACCCGAGGCGCAATCGACGACGTCAAAGAGACAGTTCAGGCTGCGATTTTCGCTAGCAAGTGCCCTATATCGGTTATATTTACAGGTATGATATTCTAAGACTGGAACATAGAGGAAGGGCTCTTTTTCTGGCGCTCTGCCCTCTTTCTGTAAATTCTAATAAGTACGCTGTTAGTTTCAAATTTATGTTGGAATAAATTTAGGCATTGCGATTGGAATAAATTTAGGCATTGGCGATCGAAATTTGGACGAAATCGAACGACTCGGCGCAGGTGGTAAGCGGCTTATCTTCCAAGGACGAAGGACTGATCGCGACAATTTGCATGTGAGTGCTGTGAAGGCCGGATGCTCGAGAGGAGGACCGCCGCGCGTCGATAAGACAGAGACGCGGTCGGGCCAGCGGACGAGTTGCACCGCGCGCAATGTGGTGTGGGACGCGGAATGTTACATTCTATTTAAATGACGCGAAATCACTACAATATGCGGTGCAACTCGTCCATTAATACGTCTGCGTCCCTGCCTTCTGGCCGCGTGAAGGGCCTCCTGTCGGGTACTCGTGAGGGAAAAGCAGGCCTTTTTTCAAAAATTCCTGTGCCTTGGCTTTCATCAAGAGCGAAGCCTATTTCTCCATCACTTGATGTTAGCTCCTTTTACAGTATGTGAATATGACAAGAGTGCTACTCGAAAGTGACGGATCAGCAGATGAGTCGAAATTGACGTTGTCAGAGAAGTCACTGTTTCAAATTCCGCGGCAAATCGCCACCTATTTCACGAAAAACGGCATTTTGCCGATGGAACGGCGTGACACTCCTGCGGTGAGTGTTTCCAGCCTTTCAGCAGCTCATGCTGTGTTGTGTTTTTATTTATACCTGTGTTTTTTGGTGTGGTATTATACTTCGTATTTATCACATCGAATTCCACCTCAGTGGTGAATATCACATTCACGACGGCGGCAGCCCATATGGCCTGCCAAGGGAGTGTGCCCGAGGGCGGTGGCAGCCCATATGGACTGTCAGCTACTAATCACTCGCCAGTTGCTTATATCACTATTTCTTCGATTTTTCTGATATTACCTAATGAATTAGGGGCTAATACATGGACATGAACAACAGGATTCTTCAAAAGGTTACATATGCATTATTTTAGGAGAGTTTTCTGAACCGTATGAACTTTTTGATCTGATTAGTTTCTCGTTTCCTTTTACTGCCACAAACACGTGAATGGGAAGAGTGCTAGAAGTAAAGACAAAGCGTTGTGAATGGAGTGGGATAATCAAAGACGTGCGGGGTGAGGGAATGAATGTTGGTCTCGTCCGTTTCATTCTACAATACAAAATTGCGGATGTGAAGTGAGGGGGCAGCGCGATCCAAAATCGCGTTGTCTTACGCGGCCGGGAAAACAAAAAAAGTGGAAAAAGGGTGCCGTCGTGAGTATGACATACACACGAGTTAGCGTCAAGAAAGACCGCTTAGGTGTTGCTCACAGCGCAAATGTCGGAAACGAAACTTGAGAGTTGCTTAACCCTTGAGAGTTTGATTTCGAGGTCGATTTTCGATGCTGCTTCCACTTCACGAAAAATGTGTAAACAAAGCAAAGCAATCTATATATGGACTCAATTTCAGGCAGAAAACAGTGGACACCGTGTATCGGTCTTCACCGGCTTTGGAAAATGACGAATATGAGCCCTATGGACGGGGAGCTTTTGACCAAGGTAGGTGATTAGATAAAATACAATAGCAAACAATGGAAATGAAATAAGTATCTATGTTCTTGGGGAGGGCAGTTGTGAGCTAAGGGTTGACTTAGGTCTGTAGGAGTAAGGGAAAAACGTCGGGAAAAATGAAAGCAGTTCGCGTCTCCGGAATACCCTTCTTCTACTCAAGGCTTAGTCGTAAAACTGAAAGTAAGATGATTCAAACTAGGTGAGAATTACTTTTTTCGCGTGTGTAATTGAAAAAGAGCAAAATTTGATGCATGCGAAACCACACCGTGACTTGCTCACCTCTTCCAGGCTCTCGCTGAGATCTCGGAGAGGGGAATATTTTTTGGCTGGCTTATTGACGGTTTAGCATAGCCTTCAGGTGGAAGTATAAAAATGACTGACAAAAGACTTGCATTTCTTTAGCTGGGGGTTTACTCACCCCCCCCATCTTTACCATCGGCCTACTTTCCCCTGTCATCTGGTTTGCGTTTCGCTGACCATAGTTGTGAGGCTATGGACAGTTCGCTTGTTAGATTGTTGCTAATTCGATTTTCGTGGCAATTACACGCTTCTGGGCCCTGGGGTTTGTGGAATAAGGATATGACTGCCGGCCGATATCTTTTGGTCCGGTAATTATTCGTCGTATGTACTTTCACATATCACGAGAAGATGCAACACTGAGCAATTCTTTTTTTCAAGAAATAAGGAAAGGTTGAGTGATTCTCAAGAAATCTCTGCAGTCATTCAATAGGTTCGTTTTCACGACAAAGCCTTACTTAAAGGCACAACCGTGGCTGAAGTCGTGTGAACGACTTCTTCGGTCTGTGGGATAAACTCTTAAATCACATCCACAGATGTGGCACTCCCGTGCGTTGAATCACCCGGCTAGGGCGCTAGAAACTTGCAAAGTTAGCTGCAGCAGTTGCAATGTTCCGTTCGCAGAAGGCTGTTGTCTGGCGCTCTCTCATCTGTTGCGCTCTCTCGCCTCATACTCTCCTCTCCGCGCTCTCATTCCCTTAGCACAGCCGCAGAGGAAGGTGAGTGAGCCCTTAACCTAAGCGTTTTCGACGGATTCTTTTCCTTTTTTTTGCTGGCCCATTCACTTTCCTATTCCAGTGCAAGAACCACACCAGTTTGAATATTGGACATGCCTTCAATAAATTTCTAAATTTCTTACCAATTTATCCCATTTACCAACGATTTAGCCATTTATAGCTAATGCTTCGTATACGTTCCAGGTTCTCATGACATACCTGTAACACCGGTCCCATCATATGTTCAAGAAAACTACGAGAATGTCCGAAGGTTTGTTATGGTGTTCAGACCCGACCACACCATTTAGTGCTAAAATCAGCTCTGTGCGCATCAAGCGCTGAATTTATAACTGCATGGTGATGCGATATCCTTTTGACCCTTATTGTGCTCCATTACTAAATATAAGAAATTTTTAGAAAACCCCCGTCTCTCAATAGAAATCTTCGATCGATGACAATCACTGGAGATGGTGGACGACGGTACTAATTGCACGTGCTGAGGACGAGATTGATCCTAGATAATCTATATGTATATGAAAATGTTTGTATACATCCAGACAGCTGATCTTTCGGTTGACGCGTCATTATCGCAGTTGTTTTGACCAAGAAATGACGACCGATTATCCCATGTTGATATTCATGAAAGCGATCTCTCACTATGTGCACTTGTAACTTTGGGTCTCATCCAGTAAGTGGGGCATGTAGTGCGACAGTTTTTCTCTACCGAAATAGCCCAATATTTTACAGAAGAGGGAAAGCTCCGGGGTGGACCATGGTTCCCACTCAGGTTTCTACTTTTTTACTACCTACTGCTTCCTACTCTACGTTCGACTCGAATTTCTTTAGGTAACAGCAACTGTCGCAACAAATGCCACCTCCCT